GCAGCTCCAGCCACTCTGCCCCCAGCCTCAGGCTCTCCTAGCTGTTTGCCAAGGGGATCAGCAGCCCAAAGCCAGTTAAACCTTCCCAGTCCCTGGCTGTACATCCTTCCTGAAGCAGGGTGCAGGGCAAGCATCAGCCATATGGCCAGGACAGCAGCAATGCTGGCCACCAGCCAGGCTCCCAAAATCCAGAGTCCCCTCAGTGCTACCTGTGAGCAGCTCAGCATCAATCCTGGTCTGGGCAGAGCCTGGGGTAGGAGATGAGGAGCTCTTTTTCCTCTCCACACGCTGCCTCTTCTCCTTCCTTTCCTCCTTCAGGAGCCTTCACAGCATCCTCTCCCCACTCCCTGTCCCATTACATCTCCCCTCCCCCTTATGCCCCCTCAACCCCCCAAAATTCATCCCCTGTACCCCCCTGTCGCCCTCTTTTCCCACCCTCAAATCCCTCCCAGACACCATCACACATCTGTGGGTATCTCTCCTCCCACTCTACGGTCCCCTCCACCTGCCCCACGGGGGGCTTCCATCCCCCCAACTCTGCCCCTTGGGGGGCAGAGGAGTGGGGGGCACACGCCGGCTGCGGGTTCAAGAGTGTTTCCCCCCCCGTGCCCACTTCCCCCCACTCACCTCGCCCGGTGCTGTAGTGCTGTAATTTATCACTGTACACCGCCTCCTTGCTGTAGGCACGCTTCCTGGGAGAAGAAGGGAGAAGACAGCTGGGTTTGAGGGACAAGGAGTTGGCCACACCGCTCCCCGGCCAACAACACCGGGCGAGCGATGGCTCCTCAGTGCTCTGCCCAGCTATGGAGGTCCCCCGTCCTTCCCTTCCCACCCCAAGTCTCTCCCAGTTGCATCTTTATCACCTCCCATCTTCCAGGGAGGCAGCATCCCATGGGGACCCACCTGCTGCAGACGATGGAAATGGCCACCAGCGAGACAATGAAGACCACCCCGGCCGCTGCGGACCCCGCGATCAAAGGCAGCTGCTCTCTCAGCTCTGACTTGTAGTCATCTGCAAGAGAAGAGGGATGGGGTGGATTCTCCTTTTGCACCCTCAGGGAGTAAGAAGAGCCTCCTGGGAAGGGTTCCTCTAACGCATTCTCCAACCCCATGGGTGGTGGGACAAGGGAGACCCAGGCAGGAGCGCTGGTTGAGGCACGCGATGAAGCCGACACTGTGTTGCACAAGGAAAGACTGACACACTCAGGTCACACATGCTTTGGGTTAAAAATATGGAAGAGAAGGTCCTAGGAATCAAGTCAAAGCAACGTGATTGGGCCCAGTTTCCCGAAGAGATGACATTCACAAGGTGGCTTTGCCCATGCTCTAGGGTTTTTCTTCCCTCAATAAATTTAAACCTGTTGGTCGTTTTGACCGAATTTAACATGGAGTCTCAAAGTTCCTACAAGTTGCATGAAAGGAGGAAGAGAAAAGACCCCATTAATAACTAAACCAGCCAGGGAAGGCTGAGCCAAGTGTTCACTTATATTAGACATCAGGTAGTCCACCACACAATGGTTAACCTTGGGAGAGAGGCCCAGGAGAACCCAAGTGCCTTCACTGCAGATCCACTGGTAGGATTTTACATCTCAAAAGACGGCATCAGTCAACTCCTTTTGCAGGCCACCACAGTACCCCTTCTGCACCGAGCATCCCTCAAACCCCCTGCATTCCCTTGGCCACCCACTCTGTCCCTGTGAAAGCTGAGGTGGTACAGGGAGGACTGCACATGCCTGGAACAACCCTGAGAAAGCTATTTGCCACCTCCATGTGTCTCCTCCCCGCTTTCCCCTTCTCCTGCCCTGCCCCGTTAGTGGTGTGGGCACCCACAGCCATGGGGGTGGATGGTACCACAGAATCATAGAGTGATATGGGGTTGGAAGGGACCTCTGGAGATCATCTAGTCCAACCCCCTGCCAGAGCAGGGCCACCCAGAGCAGGTCCCACAGGAATGTGTGCAGGTGGGGTCTGAAAGTCTCCAGAGAAGGAGACTCCACCACCTCCCTGGGCAGCCTCTTCCAGGGCTCTGCCACCCTCATAGGAAAGAAGGTCCTCCTCAAGTTTAGGTGGAACTTCCTATGTTCCAGTTTGTGCCTGTTCCCTCTTGTCCTGTCCCTGGGCACCACGGAAAAAAGCCTGGCCCCATCCTCCTGACACCCACCCTTGAAGTATTTATAAGCATCAATCAGATCCCCCCTCAGTCTTCTCTTCTCCAGACTCAAAAAACACAAGTCCCTCAGCCTCTTCTCATAAGAGAGATGCTCCAGGCCCCTCATCACCTTTGCAGCCCTCTGCTGTCCCCTCTCCAGCAGGTCCCTCTCCTTCTGGAACTGGGGAGCCCAGAACTGGACCCAGTGCTCCAGCTGGGGCCTCCCCAGGGCAGAGCAGAGGGGCAGGATGACCTCCCTCCACCTGCTGCTCACACTCTTCCTGATGCCCCCCAGGATGCCATTGGCCTTCTTGGCCACAAGGGCCCATTGCTGGTTCATGGCCATCCTGTTGTCCACCAGGACTCCTAGGTCTACCCAGGTCCTACCCAGCAGACCCCACAAGCCTGGGGGCTTCTGCAGCCCTCCAGAAACACCCCCTTCTCCAACCATCCCCAGCAAGGTCTGCCAGGCTGTGCCAGCAGCCACAAGCAAGGGTTAAAATAAAATTCTCTCCAAAAGAAAGCATTTAACACCCTTTTATCTGTATTTTTGTAGTCCGCAGTTAATTATTAGCAACTAGATTTATCTCTTGCACGCCACTTAAATCCTGAGAAATTCTCATCTAACAATCAATTATTATTTAATAATCTACACTATCCGTTCTTATTAAATTTCAATTAATTGCTTATTTGAGGCAGGATTTTTCTCCTTGCTTCTCTAATTCTGCAGATTCGAGGCATTGAGGGGGGTTTATTACCGCTTCCTTCCCTTTGGTCTCCCTGTGTGGTTTTCCTTTCCCGCTCCAGCTGGCACTCACCATGAGCACAAGCGTGGAGAGACACAGTTTGAGGAAAAAAGGAAAGTTTTAGGAAAAAAGGAAAGTTTTAGGAAAGGCAGCCAGCAGGGCTGGGAGCCATGGGTGTCACCTGAGGGGAGCAGGAACCATGCTGGCAAAGGCGAGGAAGGGGCTCCTTGCAGGGACTTCAGCTCCCCCAGTGTCTGGAGGGGTAGGAGGACCACAAAAGGAGCCTCTCGTCATTCACCAATGTATGGATTTGTCCAAAGCTGAGATTAATGAAAAAACCTTCCCATGAATTACTAGTCTCTAAAGGCATCTAGTGTTTGTGGGTGCAGGGAAGGGTTGGGGCCAGAAGAACAGCAGCAGGAGGCCAGAAGAAGCCATGAAGGTCATGAGCTGGCCCTTTCCCTTGGATGTACCACCTCAGGGTAGAGAACCAGTGGCTGAAGGTGGGTCTGACCCTTCCAGCTTTGCCCTCAGGGTAGAGAACCAGCAGCTGAAGGTGGGTCTGACCCTTCCAGTTTTGCCCTGATGGGCAAGATGTGGCTCTGAGCACCCCAGGAGAGCACCCCTGGAGAGCACCCCAGGAGCCCTTCCTCTGAGGGTCCACAACCCCCACCACCCTGGACGTGGTGGCAGGGGGGGGCTCTGCCACCACGCTCAGAGGGAGGAAAGACAAAACCGCCACTAAATAACGGGAGAGAAAACAGAGCTAAGAGATTTAAAGCAGATTCCTCCTCCAGCTGGCGATTAATAAGACACGGCTGTAAATCACCCGGCTTTTGCCACGCTGCCCGCTGGGAGAGAGGTTTGCGGAGACGAGTTCGTTTAATCCAATTAAAGCTGTCGCTGGGAAGACAACCACCACCCCCCACCACCCAACTTTCCACCCTCCCTGTGTCATGTCCCCTTCTCCCCTTGCCTTCCCCATCCCGGTCTCACCGTCCGTCAGCGTCTGGAAGCACATCTTCCCGCTGTACTTGCCGTAGCCGGCCACGGTGCGGGCTCGGACCTGCACCACGTAGACCATGCCGGGCCGCAGGCCCTCGATCCTGGCCGTGTTGGTCTGGCTGCGGGCCATGGAGGAGTTGTACTCGTTGTGGTCCTGCAGGCACGGCCAAGAGAGACGCTCAGGGGAGGGGGGACACAGGGGACAGCAAGAGGAACGATGTGTCCCACAGCCCACCTGCCCCCCTTGGTGGTAGGGATGAGGTTGATCTGCAGGGCCCTCCAAGAAGGACAAGCACCAAAGCCTGAGTGAGGTGGTTCAGACCCTCCTGGTTGCCCTGACACAAACACGACCCAGGAGCTCTGCCTGGTGTCCAGGAAGCTGGGGAGGTCCCCACAGCACGTGCCTCCTCAGCAGCCCCCTGGTCCCACCAAAGCAAAGAGCACAAAGTTCTCTTGGGGGGGGGGGAAACATTGAGAGCGTCCAGAGCAAGAACACTCATGAGCAGTAAATTCCTCCTCTTCAAACCACCAATGTCCCTGCCTGTTTCAGAAATGTCACACAGTTATGGAAACACCATAACATGCTCTACGAGACCCCGCTCGAGCAGGTTCAAGGGCAACTTGACTTTTCTGAGACCCCCAGCCCCTACGGTCGCTGCTCTGCTGGCAGAGGTCCCCGTGCTAAACCTCGGTGGAAACCTCACGCGTCTCAAACCTCATTTTTTTGCAACGTTCCCCGGCGATTTGCTGTAAAGGGGCCGCTGGTGAGATCATCTAATTATTCGGATTTAGAGGAATTCATTAAAGCTGGCAAGGCAGGGGAGGGATGGAACAGCTTGGGCTCGGCACGGTTCACCGCAAGGGTCGAGAGCGGGTCCCCTGCGGGGAAGGACGGCTGCCAGTGAAAGGACCTGGCAGGAGGCAGTGACCCGGGACAGGGACAACCCTGACAACCTTCGTTATGCCGTCCCCCTCCTCTCCTCCCGACGCCGTCCCCTCACTCCACGTCCCTGCTCACCCAAGCAGATACCAAAGCCAAGGCAGCAAGGGGCAACGATGGGCTGGAGAAAACGCTGCCCATGGGGGAGGAATTACCATCTGCATCCGCAACATCGCTTCCTTTCCTCTTCTCCCACCCTCCAAGAGCCAGTGTGGGCAACCAGGAGCCCATCCCACCGCCTGTCCCACCACCTGGACCCTTCCCAGCAATGAGCCCCACTCAAAGCTCGTTGATGCTCTTCCCCTCCCAGCAAGGTCAGGACCAAGGAAGCCTCCCAGCAGCACCATACGAAGCTCCATACGCCCCCAGCCCACCCTTCCATCCTGAGGTTTCCACCTGAACTTACCGCTGCCGGCCTGGAGCCCACGGTGCTGCTGACATCGGGCGTGCAGATGCGGCTCACCTTCTCGTAGTAGCGGATCTCGTAGTCCAGGATGATGCCGTTGGGCTGCTCGGGCTGAGGCCAGGAGAGCGTGATGCTCCTCATGGTGGCACTCACCTGGTGCATGATGGGGACGGTGGAAGGTGCTGCCAAGGAAGCGGGGAGGGAGGGAAAATTAATGGAGAGGGGTAGGACCCACAGCCCTGGGGAGGGGGAAAGTCTCCTGGGCACGTGGAGCATCCCAAATCTCCTGTGCCTGCAGTTGTTCGCCCCGTGGGACAAGCTGCAATACTAGCAGTGGGAAATGCAGCATCTCAGCAGCTTAGGTGGAGCCAGAGCAGCCAGCCGGCGAGGGACTTCTGGTGTTTAAAGCAATTAGTCTTTTTAATTAGGAGCTTAGAAATCCTCGGTGTTCCTTCTCCCTGGGATTGCTTGCTCCCCACGGGGGGGCACAGACAGGAAAGCTCTAGAGCACAAAGTTCTTTGGGGGGGGGGGGAAACATTGAGAGCGTCCAGAGCAAGAACACTCATGAGCAGTAAATTCCTCCTCTTCAAACCACCAATGTCCCTGCCTGTTTCAGAAATGTCACACAGTTATGGAAACACCATAACATGCTCTACGAGACCCCGCTCGAGCAGGTTCAAGGGCAACTTGACTTTTCTGAGACCCCCAGCCCCTACGGTCGCTGCTCTGCTGGCAGAGGTCCCCGTGCTAAACCTCGGTGGAAACCTCACGCGTCTCAAACCTCATTTTTTTGCAACGTTCCCCGGCGATTTGCTGTAAAGGGGCCGCTGGTGAGATCATCTAATTATTCGGATTTAGAGGAATTCATTAAAGCTGGCAAGGCAGGGGAGGGATGGAACAGCTTGGGCTCGGCACGGTTCACCGCAAGGGTCGAGAGCGGGTCCCCTGCGGGGAAGGACGGCTGCCAGTGAAAGGACCTGGCAGGAGGCAGTGACCCGGGACAGGGACAACCCTGACAACCTTCGTTATGCCGTCCCCCTCCTCTCCTCCCGACGCCGTCCCCTCACTCCACGTCCCTGCTCACCCAAGCAGATACCAAAGCCAAGGCAGCAAGGGGCAACGATGGGCTGGAGAAAACGCTGCCCATGGGGGAGGAATTACCATCTGCATCCGCAACATCGCTTCCTTTCCTCTTCTCCCACCCTCCAAGAGCCAGTGTGGGCAACCAGGAGCCCATCCCACCGCCTGTCCCACCACCTGGACCCTTCCCAGCAATGAGCCCCACTCAAAGCTCGTTGATGCTCTTCCCCTCCCAGCAAGGTCAGGACCAAGGAAGCCTCCCAGCAGCACCGTACGAAGCTCCATACGCCCCCAGCCCACCCTTCCATCCTGAGGTTTCCACCTGAACTTACCGCTGCCGGCCTGGAGCCCACGGTGCTGCTGACATCGGGCGTGCAGATGCGGCTCACCTTCTCGTAGTAGCGGATCTCGTAGTCCAGGATGATGCCGTTGGGCTGCTCGGGCTGAGGCCAGGAGAGCGTGATGCTCCTCATGGTGGCACTCACCTGGTGCATGATGGGGACGGTGGAAGGTGCTGCCGAGGAAGCGGGGAGGGAGGGAAAATTAACAGAGAGGGGTAGGACCCACAGTCCTGGGGAGGGGAGAAAGTCTCCTGGGCACGTGGAGCATCCCAAATCTCCTGTGCCTGCAGTTGTTCGCCCCGTGGGACAAGCTGCCATACTAGCAGTGGGAAATGCAGCATCTCAGCAGCTTAGGTGGAGCCAGAGCAGCCAGCCGGCGAGGGACTTCTGGTGTTTAAAGCAATTAGTCTTTTTAATTAGGAGCTTAGAAATCCTCGGTGTTCCTTCTCCCTGGGATTGCTTGCTCCCCACGGGGGGGCACAGACAGGAAAGCTCTTCCCAAGTGGGGACAAACCAAGGCTTGATGATGGTCTCCAGCTCTGCTTGCCATCTTTTGCCATAACACTGGGGGACCTGGCACCGTGGGAGCCTGTGCCATGGCTGTGACCCCCCATGCTGTCAGTAACAGGACATAGGAGCAAAGATCTGCCCACCCTGAGGACAACTATGGGAAACCAGGGCAGGGACCTGGACAGGCTGGAAATTTGGGCAGAGAGAAACCTGAAGAACTTCGACAAGGGTAGAGTGCTGCACCTGGGGAGGAATAACCCTCTGCACTAGGACAGGTTGGGGCTGACCTGCTGGAGAGCAGCTCTGAGGGGAAAGACCTGGGAGTCCTGGTGGACAACAGGATGGCCAGGAGCCAGCAATGGCCCTTGTGGCCAAGAAGGCCAATGGCATCCTGGGGGGCATCAGGAAGAGTGTGACCACAGGTGGAGGGAGGTCATCCTGCCCCTCTGCTCTGCCCTGGGGAGACCTGAAGGGAGCCTACAGGAAGGCTGGGGAGAGCCTGTTTACAAAGGCCTGTAGTGACAGGATGAGGGGTAATGGCTTTAAGCTGGAGGGGAACAGATTAGATTGGAGATGAGGAGAAAGTTCTTCACTGTGAGGGTGGTGGAGCACTGGAACAGGTTGCCCAGGGAGGTGGTTGAGGCCCCATCCCTGGAGATATTCAAAGTGAGGCTCAACGAGGCCCTGGGCAACCTGGTCTGGTTGGGGGTGTCCCTGCTGACTGCGGGGGGGTTGGACTAGATGACCTTTGGAGGTCCCTTCCAGCCTGGGCAATTCTATGATTCTATAAAGTATTTACGCCGGGTTTCTGTCTCCTGCTGTCCCAAGGGAGCGGGTTGGCAAAGGCTGCCCGTGTTACACCATCAGCACGAAGAAGAACTGGCCATCCCCTTTCTCTGCCCAAAGCAGGTGGCTTTCCATCCCCTCCACTCCTCATTGCAGCCCAGGATCAGGTCCCCCCAAACCCCACCAACCATCCCAGCTTGGCCAAGAGCTGCTTGTGCTGCTCCCGACACCTGATTGGGAAGAGGGAGGGAAAGAGGCAGGGGGGGAGCCCGGATAAAGGTTTAGCAGGGGAGTTGGACTAGATGATCTCTATGGTCCCTTCCAACTCTAAAAATTCAGTGAAATTCAGTGAGGGATGTGCCAGAGGAGACCAAGCTCCAATTCAGCCCCGGGATGCTGCTCCCCCCATGCTGCGATGCTCAGCCTGTGCTTCAAGGCCGGATTCACCCCAACTCCCTTTTCCCACTTGAGAAAAGTATGGAAAGGTCAACGATTTTTCATCCCCAAGCAATCTAGATAAAAAGCAGATATCGGTCCTCGCTCCCTCCCCTTCTCCCACAACCCACCTCTGGCTTTGCCCAGGGGTGAGGCACCCTCTCCAGCTCCCCCATCCCTCTCCCTCCCTCTTTTCTTGGTCTTTCTCCCCACTTTCCACCTTCCCCCCAGCTCCATCCAGGGCTGGGGGCTGGTTTATCGCAGCCAACCCCCACCACTCACACCTGGGGAGCTTTTTCCTTCAGACTTTTTAGTGATGTGTGTGTGTGGTTTTGGTGGGTTTCTTTTGTTTTGTTGGCTTTTTTTTTTTAATCGGAGTTAGGTTGACGGTTGGACTAGATGATCTTAAAGGTCCTTTCCAACCTAGACAATTCTATGGTTGTGTGATTCTATGAGTGGGACCTTGCAGTAGGTACCATATGGCTTAAAACCCCCGGCCCCACGCCATCCCAGGACTCACCAGCTTGGTTGGTGGTGATGTTGACGGAGACGTGCTGCGGCGGGAAGGGGCTCTTGTTGGAGACCCCGTTGACAGCCTGGATCTCGAAGGTGTACGGCGTGTGGGCCCACAGGCTGCTGATGAAGACCCGGGTCTCCGTCAGCCCCAGCTGCCTGGGGACAAAGTCCACGTTGTCGTCGCAGCGGGAGCAGGCGCGTCGGTCCGACCGGCACTTCTTGCAGACGATGTTGTAGGTGACGTCATCCCGACCCCCCGTCTCTCGCGGCGGGTGCCACTCCAGGATGATGGACGTCTCGTTGACGATGGAGATGACATTGCGGGGGCCGGATGGGACACCTGCGGATGAAGGAGAACACCTGAGATCTTGCCCAAAAACGTTACGCTCAGAGCTTAACAGGGCTCAGCAGGAGCTCTTGGCGGGCTCCAGTATGGTGAAGGACACCCCACAGCTCCGTCTGCTGGTCTACCCATCACCTCCTGCCTCAGGAGGGATTCAGTCTCCATGGCTTTGCCCAATTTAGGGTCAGGGTCTCCAAACCACTCACACCACCAGCCACAGAGAAGGGTTTCATGGTTGGGGATGAGGACTCCCATGGCACAAACCCACTCAGTCTCCCAAAAAACCACCCCCCCCACAGATCCATCTGTGAAGATGGGCCCATTCCAATGATGGGGAGATGCCGAGTTAGCTCCAATGCTCATGTGGAGAAGCCACCTCAAGCAGATTATCACGGTGAGAGAAACGCCACTTCGCCAGTAGCACGGAGAAACGGAGGAGCAGCCCCCAAAAAGAGAGTCCGGAATGAAAAGCTGTTATTAACGGTTCAATATCTCGAGTTGGGATTCAACGGCACAGAGGAACGCTCTACTCCACACCCAGCACGCTGATGGGTTGGTGAACAGCTTGTGCCTTGGCCAAGAGATCAAAATTGCATTGATTTTGATCAAATCTGCCGGGAGCCCTTGGGAGGACAGGAATCAAATGCAGCTCCAATCCCGAGCGCTGCTGGAATGGGGCTGGAGTCAATAGGGAGAGAATTCAGGAGGAATCCAGGCAGGAGAACATCATCAAGACACAAACATACACCTGCCCAGGGCTGGGGAAGGGTTTGGGGTTAGCCAGGACGGCTCCACAGCCAAAACCACAAAATCCGGCTGCTGGGTTATATTAAATGAGGAAAGCGATTAATTACAGGAAGAGGAAGAAAAAGGACTTTGCCATCGTGGGGGGGAGCAATAAAAATGATGGAGGACTTGACCTGCGAGGAAAGGTTAAGAGAGCAAAACACACTCCATCTTGGGGAAAACCATCCCGGGGGAGCCCTCCGTGTGTGTGTGGTGGGGAAGATCGTTAGTGGCTGCAGATAAATTAGCCCCATTAATGGATGGGGATGGGGATGGAGATGGGATGGGGATGGAGATGGGATGGGGATGGGGATGGGATGGGGATGGGGATGGGGATGGGGATGGGATGGGATGGGATGGGATGGGGATGGGGATGGGGATAGGATGGGCAGAGGTGACTTCGTCAGCACAGGAGTGACATGGCTGGTGGGATGGAGAAGGTGACCCCATGTGGAGGACCTCCAGGTGACACCCTGCACCGGCCACCACTGCCAGCCAGCCCCGAGGGGGACATGGGTGGCCACCCCTTGGCCAGGTCCCTGCCTGGCCTGTCCTCTCCTCCTGCTCCCTTAATGGCACCCAGGCACCACTTAGGAGAAGGACCAATAAATAGCAAGTTACCCCCAAAAAGCTGCAGCCTGCCTCATAAACCTTACTCCAATCGCCCCCCTGGTACCTTAAGCTGACAATATCTTTCCAAGCCTTTTTTTCAAGAAAAAGGGAGAAAACCATCTTTCTTCCCTGGCCCAGAGACAAACCACCATGTCCCAAAATTCCACACACACCCCCCGGATTAATTGGAGCCCCTTCCCTGTCCTGAACATGGGTACAGAGCTCGGGGAGGGCTCTGGTCCTGGCAGCTCCACGCTGTTATTTGCTCCTCCGACACGGAGAAACTTTGTGGGTGAACAGCTGGCATCTCAGATTAGAGCACTGTAAAATTAAACATCGCCGAGAAGGAATAAAAATCAGCAAATAGACTTTTTTTTTTCTTTTTTATACTGTATTCCTATAGAACAGCAATACTGTAAATCAGCTACGTAACGAGACATAGTAAAGATATACAGATTGTGTCTGCTGTTGTGCTACCTGCTGACTACCTCCGGTCTGGCAGCCCAAGTGATCCAACACAACATGCAAATCAAGGAATCACGGAATTGTTGGAGTTGGAAGGGACCTTCTAGAGATCATCCAGTCCAACTCCCCTGCCAAAGCAGGGTTGCCCAGAGCACAGCACTCAGGAGCATCCAGGTGGGGCTTGAAGATCTCCAGAGAAGGGGACTCCACACCCTCCCTGGGCAGCCTCTGCCAGGGCTCTGCCACCCTCACCCCAAACAAGTTCTTCCTCAGGTTGGAGTGGAACTTCCCATGGTCCAGCTTGTGCCCGTTGCCCCTCGTCCTGTCACTGGGAACCACTGAAAAGAGTCCGGCTCCATCCTCCTTCAACCCACCCTTTAGACCCTTGTCAGCATTAATAAGGTCTCCCCTCAGCCTTCTCTTCTCCAGGCTGAAGAGTCCCAGCTCTCTCAGCCTTTCCTTATCAGGGAGATGAACTTCAACAAAGGCAAGCGTAGGGTGCTGCCCCTGGGGAGGAATAACCCCCTGCACCAGGACAGGTTGGGGGCTGACCTGCTGGAGAGCAGCTCTGAGAAGACCTGGGAGTCCTGGTGGACAACAGGGTGACCATGAGCCAGCAACTGGATCCTGTGGCCAAGAAGGCCAATGGCATCCTGGGGGGCATCAGGAAGAGTGTGAGCAGCAGGTGGAGGGAGGTCATCCTGCCCCTCTGCTCTGCCCTGGGGAGGCCCCATCTGGAGCACTGGGACCAGTTCTGGGCTCCCCAGTTCCAGAAGGACAGGGAGCTGCTGGAGAGGGGACAGCAGAGGCTACAGAGATGATTGAAGGGACTGGAGCATCTCTCTGATGAGGAAAGGCTGAGGGACTTGGGGCTTTTGGAGAAGAGAAGACTGAGGGGGGATCTGATCAACGCCTATAAATACTTTAAGGGTGGGTGTCAGGAGGATGGGGCTGGTCTTTTTTCAGTGGTGCCCAGGGACAGGACAAGAGGAAATGGGCACAAACTTGAATAGAAGAAGTTCCACCTAAACATGAGGAGGACCTTCTTTCCTGTGAGGGTGGCAGATCCCTGGAAGAGGCTGCCTGGAGGGGCGGTGGAGTCTCCTTCTCTGGAGACATTCAAACCCACCTGGACACGTTCCTGTGGGACCTGCTCTGGGTGGACCTGCTCTGGCAGGGGGGTTGGACTAGATGATCTCTTTTAGGTCCCTTCCAACCCCATGTGATTCTGTGAAGGGGTTCGTGTTGGGGCAAGGAGTGTTCTGTAGCACATGGAGAAGGTGCCGTGCCATGGGGAGAGGGATGGGTTTTCCATATGGGCACCCCAGCCCTCCCCAACACGGTGGGTTGACCTCAGTTGGCTGCCAGGCGCCCACCCAGCCCCTCTCCCACTCCCCTCCCCAGCAGGATTGGGGGTGGAGAAAATAAAATTGGAAAGCTCATGGGTTGAGATTTTACCATCCATGAGATGCTTCCTCAGCGGCGGAGGGGAGGGAGAACTTGAAGCCCCACCACCACCACCACCCCCCCCGACGCCATTACTCACTGGTGCAGGCGGCTGCCGGGGGGTCGAAATCAGCCCGGTAGTAGCCGTTGCGGCACGTGCAGACCGGCGAGGCCTCGGCGGTGGAGCGGCTGTTGGGGGGACACGGGGCGCAGACCCCTGCGCCCTGGCTGGCCTTGAAGGTCCCCGCTGGGCAGGCTGCAGGAGAAAGGAGAGACATGAGGACGGGTTCCCAGGGCAGGGGGGGAAAATGGGTCCCGTTCTTGGAACAGGGCAGACAGAGAAAGAAAAATGAAGGAATAAAAGAAAAAATAAGGCAAAGGAAAGCTTCGCTCATGTATCAGAGCTAAACGGGGTGGCACCTTCCCATGGACGTAGGATGGCCATAATTTTCCACCCTGGCCATGAATTATTTCTGGGGCCACCAGGAAGACACACTGCAACGGGCAAGTTCTGCCTAGTGTGTCTTCAAGACATCACAGAATCACAGAATCTTCTAGGTTGGAAGGGACCTTAAAAATCATCTTGTCCAATCGTCAACCTAATTTTGACAAAAATAAACACCCACACAACAAACAAAAAGCAACACCATCACCAAACCATACCACCCAGCACTACATCAACCCGTCTTTTGAACACCTCCAGGGATGGGGCCTCAACCACCTCCCTGGGCAGCCCATTCCAATGTCCAATTTCCACCACCCCAGCAGCACGGCACAGGTCTCGCATCTCCTTTTCCATGCAAAATTTGAATATTTAATTTAAAAGTGGATGCAAGGCCCCGTAACAGTGTCTTCTGGGTCCGTCCCATTAACCCCCCGCAGCCCGGGGCTGGGGCTAATAACCTTCCCAGCCTTGGGCCTCCGCGTTCATTCAAGCAGGAAATGGCAACTAATTCATAAATGAGAAGACGCTCCAGTTACAGTTACGGCGAGGCTTTAATCAGTGACGGCGGGAGGTTTCATTAATTAACCATCTCATTGCTCCGCCGTTAGAGAGTGACGATGGAGCGACAAAGAGGGGATCCTTCCTCCCTGCCCCACCTCACTGGTTCTTTACCAACCAGCTGCTGATGACGGGATGCTCATCCATCCTTGACGGCTAACAAAACCCTCAGGTTTTTGCCCCTACGAAACCAGAAGCTGCAGAATCACATAATCACACCGGGTTGGAAGGGACCTCTGGAGATCATCCAGTCCAACCCCCTGCCAGAGCAGGGCCACCCAGAGCAGGTCCCACAGGAACGTGTCCAGGTGGGGTTTGAATGTCTCCAGAGAAGGAGACTCCACCACCTCCCTGGGCAGCCTCTTCCAGGGCTCTGCCACCCTCACAGCAAAGAAGGTCCTCCTTATGTTTAGATGGAACTTCTTCTATTCAAGTTTGTGCCCATTTCCTCTTGTCCTGTCCCTGGGCACCACTGAAAAGAGACTGGCCCCATCCTCCTGACACCCACCCTTGAAGTATTTATAAGCATTGATCAGATCCCCCCTCAGCCTTCTCTTCTCCAGACTAAAAAGACCCAAGTCCCTCAGCCTTTCCTCATCAGAGAGATGCTCCAGGCCCCTCATCATCTCTGCCCAGAACTGGACCCAGTGCTCCAGCTGGAGCCTCCCCAGGGCAGAGCAGAGGGGCAGGATGACCTCCCCCCACCTGCTGAAAGGAACATCTGTATTTTGGCACAGGCACGCAAGGGACCAGACTTCCATCCAGGTCCACCACCAGGCCAGGGGTTCCTTGGCCTCCCACACAAAGTGGTCCCACCTCCATTTGGCTCCCGGCTCTGCCCCCGTGATGGTGTCACCTCCAAGGCACGGCTCTGCAGAGGAACACCCTAAGTGTCTCATAAACACGGCGATGATTGAGATAATGGAAAGTGCCTCTTAGCCCCTGTCTGCTGCATCAGGATATGAGGCATCTCCTAGCAGCCACGGAGAGGAAATTAATAGGAGCAAGCAGGAGTAACCACTTTGATGCAATTTCCTTGAGAGATAGTGGACCATCTAATCTTTATTGGAGCCCTTTAACCTGTCATTCAAAACTCATGAAGGCCTCTTGCTCACACAGCCTTTCCCGATATTAAAAGATGATAAAAAAGGATAAATCAAAACAATATTTTACAATTTTATTATTCAGGGGATCTTTTTTTCCCCTGCCTGAGGCATGCAACTGGCCGTGATGAATTGTCTCTTGCCAATGGCGTTAATAGCCAGGTGGGGCTACGGCATCCCAGGGGGATCGGCCACCACCTCACACTGCCCTTCCTCCTCCTCACCACGGGAGGACTGCCGAGTCCTCCGCATCCTACCGCAGCCATCCCACACATCTGGCCTCCTACCAAAGCACTTAAGGGCCATAAGCCACCACCTCGGGCAGACACGTAGCATCACCGTGCATTGCAGGCCACTGGGGTGGGCACATGAGGGCTTTGGAGGGGGAGAACTTCAGGATGCCAGGGCAGAAGGCAGCTGGATGCAGACTCTTCCCTGAGCCACACACACAGGCCTAGGGCCCGTAAGAGCATGAGGAAGCACAGAGTTACACCAGACACACAAGGCAGGAGACACAACCACGTGTGGACAGCAAGACTTCGAGGTGGATCTCCATTTCTTCAATGCTCCCTTTCCACCAGCAACCTCCCCGTGATGTCCCAGCTCCCACCAGCAAGCATTAGCATCCATGAGGTTGTGCAACAGGTGACTTGAGGGCTCTAGAGTTGGAGGACTTATCTCCTGGGCTCTTTGGAGGATCAGGAAGGAGAGACAGTTCCAGGGAACTTGTATTTTGATGGAAGGGGACAGGAGGGGGATGGAGGAAGACAAGAGCGTCGCAGCGCTATGAACACGTCTTGGTTTTACGCGTAGAGGAGGCACGTTGGTGGGTCGGTCGAAGGGGTTTGTTAATTTTTAATTACAATTAATCCCCGTGATGCTTTGTCAAAACACCTGAACAAAGCACAGGCTGCAACCCAGTGTCCTCAGGTTTCTTTCATCACTTGGCTTATCCGTAAATTCCTGTAATCTGCAGGCACGTGGCTCTTAATTGTTATTATTACCAATTAGCTTCTCTCTCCTGTAATTACACCGTGCTTGCCTAAAGTCTCCCGCAGTTCCGGGGGAGGCTGATGCTGCCTTCTTCTCCCAAAGCTGCTGCGGGCTGCAGTCCTCCACTGCCATGGACCCCCCTTTTTCTAGGGGAGCCAAACCACCAACCTCACACCGAAGATGAAGCCGAAACCCCCACGTCTCCTGCAACCCCATGGCGGGATTTATGGAAATTTATGGATGGATCCACAATCCATCGGACAGTAAACACGTCGTCGGGGGGTAAGGCTTGGAGAGAGGGCTGGAGCCCAGGAGGCAGCAATAAATCACCCCACTAAGGGCAAGGGCAGTGTTTGCTGTGATTTAAGGGCTGCTGCAAGAAAGTTTCCCAGAGCTGGTAAGGTCTGGATCTGGAAGAGCATCTTGGATGAGCACGGGATGAAGCTCTGCCTTGGCTTTCCCTGTGGGAAGGGGCTCCTTCTGCCGGTGCCCTGCCCAGCCTGCATCTCCTCGGCCCGGAGAAGAATTAATTGATTGTTGATTACATGGGCTGGCTAAGATTAATGATGTGCTTATCTATCCATTTCCTCACCTTTAAGCACCAGGGGTGTGTTTGTAAATGATGAGGCAGGAAAGCCGGCCGTGCCGCTCGGCGGGGCTGCGTCACCAGCATTTAACATCCCCCCGTGACCCAAAGCTGCCCATGGATTGACCACCCTCCCTGTGGATTGGCCATCCTGCCCATGGATTAGGGATGTTGGGCATCCCGGGTGGTGAGGACCAGGCATTTTCCAGCAAGACCCCTTTCCCAAGGCCAACACGGGCACTTTGGGGGCGGGAGGGAGCATCATTCCAGGCTTCTTGCAATGAGATGTCATCACTGGAGGTTTTTTTTGGGGGGGAAAAAACAAAATGGATGGAAGATGCCCTAGTTTGGATGGAGCTGCGGATGGAGTAGATTGGAGATGAGGAGAAAGTTCTTTACTGTGAGGGAGATGGAGCACTGGAACAGGTTGCCCAGGGAGGTGGTTGAGGCCCCATCCCTGGAGATATTCAAGGTGAGGCTCAATGAGGCCCTGGGCAACCTGGTCTAGTTGGGGGTGTCCCTGCTGACTGTGGGGAGGTCGGACTAGATGACCTTTGGAGGTCCCTTCCAGCCTGGGCAATTCTATGATTCTATGGAGTCCCCCTCCCAAAAGCTTGAGGTGGGGATGCGACCAGGTCCCACCTGGGGCAAAACACCCAGCGAAGGCACCGTGGACCTGCATCCCCATCACCACCTCCCTCCTCGCTCGGCAGCTCGCACGGGGTGGGATGAATTCTCCAAGCAGCAGAGGCACACAAGCAGCAGCACGGGGCTTGGGTACTTCCAAAATTCTCCCCGTCTTGACCACGATAATCCCATACCCTAATATTTCGGGTGCCAGGGGTCCCAGAAAGCCACATAGGGAAGTGGGATGCCTGCCCAAGGCAAGCCACCATCAACAGATGAGACGCTCTGCAGAAAGAGCGCAAGCACCCGGGCATCCAAGCGTTCCATTTTTCAAACTAAATCCTCTCGGTTGATGCCTGGAACTTGCACTTTTTAATTACTCTCTCAGGGAAGCTTTAGTCAAAAAAAAAAAAAAGGAAAAGAAAAAGAAGAAAGAAAGAAAGAAAGGAAGGAGGCATCTCCTCTCTATTAACTCGCTCTAAAGCTCCCCAGGGACACGGAGTGGCATTTTTCCTTATCAGGTTTTAAAATAGGAGCTTCTGCAAAGAATTACAGTCTTCAGCTTGCGATTCCCCACCTCCTCCCCATGGTCCTGGCTGGTACCCCCCTGCCAGCTCCTTTCTGCTCACAGCAAACCGAGCCCGCACCGTCTCATCCTTCCCATGTCCCTCATGTCCCCGCTGGGGCAGAGCCAACCACGTTTGCCAGGTTCTCCCAAATTCATGCCTGTTTTGGGTTCCTTTGTGCTTTTGCAGGGCCAAACCTTTGCACGTGCCCACGGTCACACCAGCACAAGGAGAGATGGGTTAGAAGCAATGGGTGCTGCAGGAGGTGATGACCTCGAGCAAGCTGGAGGTGCGGAGGGGACTGCCACGTGCCAAGGCATGAAAAAAGCCCAGATCATCCAGTTTTGCTCCCAAAAGACACATGGCTGGCACCCACCA